ACAGTCTATGTAAAGGCCCTGAGACAGAACCCTGTCTGGCATGTAAGAACAGCAAGGTCAGTGTGGCTGGAGCAGAGTGAGCGAGGGAGAGAGCAAGAGGTAGGGCAGGGAGATGTTAGGCAGATCTCCCAGGGTCCTGTGGGTAGCAGTGAGGGCTTCGCCTGTCCCCTGAGGGCAATGGGGAGCCATGGAAGGATCTAGGCAGAGGAGGGACATGACTTGACTCAGGTTTACATAGGCTCCCTTGGCAGCTATGGGGAGAATAGCCTGTTGAGGGTGAGAGTGGAGGCCAGGAGACCTAGGAATTGGTGACAGCTTATTGCCACCTCAGTTTCTTGTGAGGCTCTAGACAAGCCCAAAATAGAAACAAATTCTAGGTTATAGGGGCCAGAAAGAGGGCCTTCAACTGGGCTACCGGAGCCCAGGAAGTCAGTTTTGGCTCTTGTATTGTCCCACTATGTAGCACTGAACCAAGCCCTTCCCTTCTCTGGACCTCAGTCCTAGTGTCTGTGCGGTGGAAGTGGTGGGTGCCCTGACAAGGGACGGGGGTTGGCTGGGGGTTCCAGTCATTAGAGTGGAGAACACCCACCAAGGCATCTGGGTCCCTGAGATGGGGAGGGGAGATCCCCCTTCCTCCAGGGAAACCCAGCTGATGGGGGAAATGGGAGAGGGGGACAGGGACCCACATTCCTAAATGCACCCTGGGTGTCTGGTGAATGCTGAGCAATGCTGAGACCCCTCAAGAGGCCCCACATTAATATGCACAGAGCCAGATATGGCTTTATGGTAAGGACTGTGAGAGAGGTGAACTATTTTTATTTCCATTTTGTAGATGAGGCAACTGAAATTCAGAGAAGCAATTTGCCTAGGGTCCCCGAGTGAGGGGCAGAGCCAGGGATTGAACTAAGCTCTCTGACTCCAAAGTCCATGGTTATGACCACTATAATCCATAAACTCCCCACAATGTCACGACTGAAACTACATCAAAAGAGGCTGAGCCCAAAGGAAGGAGATGTTGATTCCCTAGTGCTGTTCATATCCCACCATGAACCTTATGTCCACTTCTGTGCTCCAAACTGTGAGAAATACAATGGCCAGCAGGGTATGTCCAGAAGAAAAGGACAAGTCAGGGAGGGCACTTAAATCCATGTTCTAGAAGATGACTTAAAATATATATATATGTATGTATTGATTTCAGAGAGGAAGGGAGAGGGAGAGAGAGATAGAAGTATCAGTGATGACAGGGAATCATTGATTGGCTGCCACCTGCACGGCCTCTACTGGAGATTGAGCCCACAACCTGGGCATGTGCCCTTGACTGGAATCGAACCTGGGACCCTTCAGTCCGCAGGCCAACACTCTATCCACTGAGCCTAACTGGTTAGGACTAGAACATGACTTTTTAAGGGAAGCTTTGGGAAGCCCATTCCAGTTCAGTCAGAGAAAGAACTTTTCGCCAGCAGGGCAGCCCACAGATGCTTTGGGAGCAATTTCTGAAAGGAGTAAACTTGTCACAGAAGCACGTGAGAGGAAGGTGGTGCTGACCTACCCAGAAGTCATAGAGGGGACTCCACAGAGAGCGACCCGAGCCAGGGGCCCTCGGGTGCCTGAGGTCAGGATCCAGGAGGGCAGATCTGCTGTTCTGACCGCCCCCTGAACTGCCTGTCTGCCCTGCAGCCCCCTCGGATCCCTGCGAGAACAACCCTTGCCTGCACGGGGGCACCTGTAGAGCCAATGGCACCCTCTATGGCTGCAGCTGTGACCAGGGCTTTGCTGGGGAGAACTGTGAGATCGGTGAGTGCCCCTGACTGGGGATCAGAACCTGGGCTTGTCTGACTCCAGAGCCCTGGGGTTTGTTTGTTCGCCACAGCAGCAACCCATGAGAACGCAGGGCTCACCAATGCTGGCTGCAGAGCTTCCTTCCCTCCCCACTCCTTGGATCCAGGAAATCCGCCCCAGCACCAGCCAATGAGCTCTCATCCTGGGGGCTGAGGCTCTGGTGTGCTGCCTCCCATTATTACCAAGCAGGGGTAAAGGAGGGCAAAGGGATGATAAGGTTCAGGCTCCTTCCTTCCAAGGGCTCCAGGAATCTTACCCTTTCCTGGTGGGCAGGGATGTAGGTACCACCAGCAGAACACTAGCCCCAAACCCCAACATAAGAAATATGACAAATTATGAAATTAGAACAATAAATATAACTAATACAATTTCTTGAGCTCTGTTCATCATCTCATCAATTTCACAACCTTCACAACTATATCAGTAATAGAAATAGAACAATAAATATAAATGATATTAAATTTTTATTTTAAATATGTTTTTATTGATTTCAGAGAGGGAGAGGGAATAAGAGATAGAAATATCAATGATGAGAGAGAATCATTGATCTGCTGCCTCCTGCACGCACCCCCACTAGGGGATCGGGCCCGAAACCCGGGCATGTACCCTGACCGGGAATAGAACCGTGACCTCCTGGTTCATAGATCGACACTCAACCACTGAGCCACGCTGGCTGGGCAATGATATAAACTCTTGAGCTCTTCCGTTGACTCTCCACTCATAACCACCTTTGAGGAGGTGCCATTATTATTAACACTGCAAAAAGAACAACAACTGGGTCTCAGAGAGTGGAAGTGGTACATGCCTCAAGCACTGTCTGCACAGGGGTGGTAGAAGAGGGAGTTCAACTGGATAGCTGTCTCTACAGTTTTCTGACTCCCTGTTCCTTGCAAATGCTCTGGAACCCAGTTTCCCTAGGTTCCACATTCCAAAAAGACCCTGGAGCTTCGACATTCTCTGGGTCTGTTGGCAAGAGTATAACCTTCATTGTTCTGGAGTCAGGTGGAATGCTCTGCACACCCTGGCCCCAGCCAACTCAGTGACATCTGCTCTCATTAATGCTAAGTTATGCGAGGCTCCACCCTCTCGACCTCCAGAGGCGAGGAGCCATTGTGCAGACCAGGATGGATGCACGTAGGTCCAGGATGGCTGGCAGGATCATGGTCCCATCTTCTGCCTGGTTTCCTGTGGGGCCTGGGAACCAAGGGTTGCCTGGGGGGAGGCTGACCTCTGACCCAGCCCCTCCTTATCCCCTCCAGACATCGACGACTGTGTCTCCAGTCCCTGTGAGAATGGAGGTACCTGCATCGATGAGGTCAACACCTTCATCTGCCTTTGCCTCCCAAGCTATGGGGGCAGCCTCTGTGAGAAAGGTGAGTCTCTGCTGAGACCCCAGAAACAGGAGGGGAGGAGGGTGCCGGGCCACAGGCCTCCAGCTCTGGTTCCATGTCTGTGAGTCCAATAGGCAAACTGTTGGAGGCAAACTGTTTTATCTTGTTTTTAGATAACATCCACGTAACATAGAATTAACCCTTTTAGAGTGAACACTTCAAAAGGAATTCAGTACATTTGCAATGTTTTACAGCCACCACCTCTAGCAGGTTCCAAGGTATTTCCCTCAGTTTAAAAGGAGACCCTGCCCCATCACTAGTCACTCTTCACTCCCCATCTCCCCAACCCTGACAGCCACTGATCTGTTTCTGTCGTTGTGGGTTTGCCTGTTCTGGACATTTCATATAAATGGAATCACACATTATGTGTCCTTTTGTGTCTGGCTTATTCTCCTCAATATCATGTTTTTGAGGTTAACCCACATGTAGCATATGTCAGTGCTAAATTCTTTTTTGTGGCTGAAAAACATTCATGGTATGGATAGACGGTTTTGCTGATCAATTCATCAATTGGTGGTAATTTGGGCTGCTTTCCCCTGGAAGCTAATATAAATAGTACTGCTATGAACATTCATGTACAGGTTTTTGTTTGAATACGTTTTCTTTTGAAAAATATTTTTAGTGATTTGAGAGAGGGGGGGATAGAGGAGAGAGAGAGAGAAACATCAATGTGAGAGCAAAACATCAATTGGCTGCCTCCTGCACGCCCCCTACTAAAGATCAAGCCTGCAACCCACAACCTGGCCATGTGCCCTGACCAGAATCAAACCGGCAACCTTTTGGTGCATGGGGCCACGCCCAGCCAACTGAGCCACCCAGCCAGGGCAGAACACCTGTTTTCTATTCGTCCACCCCACTCCACCCCCATTCTTTTTGGTTTATACCTAGAAGTGGAATGACTGGGTCACATGGTAATTCTATGTTTACCTGTTTGAGGAACCATGAGACTGTTTTCAACAGTGGCTGCCAACTCTACATTCCCACCGGCAGTGTACCAGGGTTCCAACGTCCCCACATCCTCACCAGCACTTGTTCTTTTCCTATTTGAAAATTATACTAGTGGCCATCCTAGTGGGTGTGAAGTGGTATCTCATTGTGGTTTTGATTTGCATTTCCTAATGACTAATGATCTTTTCATGTGCTTCTTGGTGATTTGTCTATCTTTTTGGGAGAAATACCTAATTGAGCCCTTTGCCAGGAGGGGAATTTTAGGCCTTTCTGAGATCATTTCCTGAGTTCCCAGGTCCACACTGAGGGTATGGCCCTGCAGAGCAGAGGAGACATCAGAGGTGGGAGGAGAGGGGATGGGTGTAAAGATCTTCCAGTTGAATCGCTTCCAGAAACAAAGAAAAGAAGTGAATATGGGAGGTGGAGCTGAAAAGGGGAGAGAGAGCCTCAGGGGGTGGGTCCAGAGAAAGGGGTGACCTAGCTCCACAATGACCTTGGATAGGCCCTCTCTCTGGTAGACTGGCTGTGTTCATGCCAGCAGGGCAGACTTCTCAGGCCAAGGACAGCGCCCCTCACACTCCCTTCCTGCTTCCCAGACACGGAGGGCTGTGACCGCGGCTGGCACAAGTTCCAGGGCCACTGCTACCGGTACTTTGCCCATCGGCGGGCGTGGGAGGATGCCGAGAGGGACTGTCGCCGCCGAGCTGGCCACCTGACCAGCATCCACTCACCTGAGGAACACAACTTCATTAACAGTAGGGACTCTGGGGTGGTCAGGGTGGCCCTGTGGTCCTTTTTGCCAGGGAAGTCCCCAGGATCCTGAAGACACCACCTTCCTGAAACTGTGTTCATTAGTGCCAGCCATGGCCACTTAATAATTCCCATGTTTGTTTATTCATTTGTTAATTCATACATTCACTGTATTCGTTCGTTCATTCATCATGTATTTACCAAGCACTTGCTCTGGGACACAGCGGCGAGCAAGATGCACATTGTCCCGTCCTCGGGGAATAACATTCGTGTGGGGGAGTAAATATCTAATTAACTACGTCTGTACTATAATTTAGCTGGTCCTAAGTATGCTGATGACAAATTCAATGGCCAGGGGATAGAGGGCGACGGGAAGCATCTGTGATGTGTGGGATAGAATGAGCAAGGAGCTGTGCAGAGACCTAGGAAGAGTGTCACAGTAATTAAATCCGGCATTTATTGATTCATTCATTATCTTTTCTACCGTCTGTGCATCCATCCATGTATTCACATTTCCCCTATCCCATCCCCTAATTCTTTTTTCTTTTATTCTTTTAAAAGACTTCATTGGGGAAACATACATGGGTGGGAACTGTCCTCAGAAATATCTCAGGACGCTGTTCTCCAGCTCGCTGGGCAGTTGCAGTTGCCAGAGGCCCCTGCTCCGAAGCATCTGACCAGTCACAGCATCTGTGACTCCTGGAGGGGCCCAGCCCTGGGCGTGGCCACACTCCCCACCCCCATCTCCTAATTCTTTCATTTGTTCATTCCCTGGGTCACGCGTTTCTTCTTCCTCACATCAATCAAATACCCTCCTCTCCTTCCTCTGTCCTCAGTGACTACCTGGTCCACTGGGTCTCACCGCTGCCCTGTCTAGAGCCACCGTGGGCTTTCCTGTCCCTTCCTGTCATTTCTGCGAAGATACGACGGTCTTTGTTAATGCTTTACTCTGGCCATTTGTTTAAGCCACATATTTGTGGCAAAGCGAGTGCCAAATAAGTGTTTTCTGTGCCCCATCCCCACCCCCAGGGTAGAGAGCAGCCAGAGCCCCAGGCTGCTGGGAAATGGGGGACTTGGCCTCCAGCCTGTGCCCAGGCTGAGGGAGAGTCTGCACCCCCCCCCACCCCGCTGCCCTCCGGCCTTTGGCTCCTGCCCCACCTCCATCCTTCCACCTCCATTCCCTTTCCCCTCCAGGCCACCTCCAGGCAAAGGAAGGGCTGGGTGCTCCCCTCCACCCCCAGCTGGCAACCTAGGCATTGGGGAGAGGCAGGCACCCAGTCCTGAAAACCCCCCAACCCGCAGGCTTTGGGCGTGAAAACACGTGGATTGGCCTGAATGACAGGATCGTGGAGAGGGATTTCCAGTGGACGGACAACACAGGGCTGGTGAGTGCGGGAGCCTGGGTCTCTGCTACCAGGCTGCTGACTGGGGGCCCACCTACAACAGCGGGGTATGGGTGAGCCCCATGCCCTTGCTCTGGCTTCACTTCACCCTCTTATGCAAACGAGCCGTCAGAGGTCTGGAGTGGCAAGTGAGCTTTAGTGAAGCCCCAAGCACCCGACTTCCCAGCCAGGCAGAGGGCCCATCTACCTAGTGACGGAAGCTGGGAACCCAGGACGGGGACAACTCCGTTGCTCATATCGCCTGGTCCTC